ATAGCACATTTAAAATTATTCTCCCGATCGAAGTCGGTAGACGGATGAATGTAGATTTTTGAATAAAGAATTTGTTCTTTATGTGATTTAAAGACAGTCGGCGATGAATATCATTACTTATTCAATTGTACTTATTTTATTACAGAATGTGAAAACTATATATCCAGATATTATTATACAAAGCCTAATACTATTAAATATAATTCAAGCAAATAAGATAATATTTAACAATTTTATGTCCCTTGACTACGGAATTAAAAGCCTCCATCTTGTAAATATGTAAATAACCCATCGCCCTCCCCCCCCCCCCCCGATCCGCGCCCGGAAAATCTACGCTGTTAGACATATGACTCTATCCCTTATCACATACATAGGGTGGATTACGTGACATTTGCATAGATAATAGACCATGGTATCTTTAAATGATGGTAAAATAAAATTTTCATGTAAATTCGATTGCTAATTGCATAATCTGCCAAAGATAATTAAATATTCATGTTTGCGCAGTTGTTATTGTCGTATTTTATTTAGACTGTTAAAAGCAGAGAATACCAACCTCCAAGGATTCTTCTACGTGAACTCGGGTGGGTCATGGTTTTTCATCCCACCCGAACGACTAGACACACTTTCCTTGTCAAGTACACAGATGCCAAGCATGAACCGAACCTAATATGTTTAGTAAATCCGCCCAAGTCGTTTATCTGCTTCAAAATTAACCGTTAGTCGTGTTTTAGTTCAGTGTTCGCCATTAACACGATTTTTAGTGTGCCGTTTAAACGGAGGCGTCTAGTAAGTTCTAGTAGTTATAGAAATTGGCGACCCCATCTCCTTTAATACCTTCGTTAGTGTGGGTGTTAACGTCCACTTACACGGAGGGTGATATCGCAGACGATCCTTTAAAACCATCGTGTGTTTGTACAAGAAAACCTTACATCTATCAGAGGGGAATTGGACTCCGAAGTTCAAAATAAAACAAATAAGCATACTTGGCCTTGTGTACGACATACATCATCACTAACTGCATATTGTTCTGACTTTAACACATTCTAAAAACAAAAACGACCCGAAAAAACATGTAGAATCTTGTATAGTACTGACCGTCACGGTAAACGTTTACGTATTTGGCCGTTTTACCCATAGGTATGCACGTAAATGAACCGTGGACAGCTGGAATTCGAAATAAGAGTAGGCCGTAGTGTTGCTGTCCTAACAAAATTTCCCTCTGTATGGCGTATATGCCTTTCATTAATAGCGCAACCGACACAGAAAAGTAGGACGCTATTTCTATATAGATGTGATAAACACAAATATTAATTATTGATTTTCGCTGTCTTTTACGGTCTGATAAAAATCTCTCAAATAAAATTTTAATCATGTATCAAGGTAATAAGTCCTTTCGTCTCTAGAAGTATGATATTAATAAACTTTGGTATTTCCTGCAGATATTATCAGATATAAAAATAGGTGCTAATTACAGTCATCATTATTATTAAAACCTTCAGATCTTTTATTAGTGTAGATATTTTATTTCGATGCCTCTTGTGTGCGAATGATGTGTGTGTGTGAACGTTCACTCGACACAACTAGGCCATTTCGAAATTAAATTTTATTTCAATAATGGGGTCTTTAGCAGAGGGAAGAAACCGCGGGACCTGGAGAAAACCCACAAGGTTGGACAGGTGATTCTACTTCTTTCAAGGAACAAGTGGGGAATCGAAACCACGCCAGTTGACTCAATGACAGACCTTTTGATCTAAGACACACGCGTTAAACCGTTTGGCCACACAACTCTCTGCGACATAAAGTGAATAGGGTACGCTGGCATTTTCCACTGGCATCACTTGGCACTGCGTTCCACTGTGTATGGGTGGGCGGGTGTACAGTCTAGCGGTAGATCACTGGCCTCAGACAAGAACATCTTGGAATCGTATCCCGTCGTGCCGTGGGAGGTGCCTGCGGGAATGCACAAGTGTACGTAAAATTAAAATTACTATAAGCTAGTCTGAAATAACGGGATTATTATGTTTAAACTGTGAAATGTACCTGATGTTTTCCGATTACTTTTTTATTATTTCATTTTTTTTATATTTTCTGCATATTTATTGATCTAACTCTGTGTCAAGTGCTGGCTCGTTTACATTCTCCGCCGTCTGTTGTACATATTATGTCATACCGGCAGCGTAGCCATGCGGGACGAGTGGCGGAACCGGTGGACCCTAGTGTGGAAGGGGGCGCAACCTTTATCAAACTGTTTTTTTTTATTTTTGTCGGCAGAGTAGAAGGATATGAGATGCCAGATATACATTTATTTTTCCACGAAACCACTGCTTTTTGTTAAACAATATTATTAGGTTTTATGTGTAGTGTACTGTGTTGTGATTTTAAGGACGATTGGGAGGGGGGGGGGGTAAAGGACAAACGCAAGGACAGCCCTAGGCGTTATAAACTCTAGCTTCGGCCATTAGGGGTAGATATGTCAGACGGTTAATAATTAATCCTTCACCTGATATCATTAATCTCATCGACCATAAAGATATCCCGACTGAAAATGTTTAAACAGAGCATTATTCCTTGTGGATAACGGTACTTCTCTTCATTAGACCGCCCGTCACATCACCTTTAACCTTGATGTAGAAATGTTATCTGCAAGATTCAGATCGTCGCCTTAGGACAGATTGTATTACCGTCCTTTATCTTTCGTCACAAGTTAAACCCGAGGGCTCTATAACCACGGCAATAATCATCCATGTCATCAACAGCCTCACGCACTGTTAAAGGGACGTAATCGGGGATTTAAAAACTTATGTCAAAATTGTCAAAGTCGATATAAATTAATTGTTAAAATCACAGGTGTCCGTCGGAATAACTATTTCAAACCATTTTGAGAATAATAGACTGTGCTTTTTTGGATTATTTATAGCTATATGTTGTGGCGGGTGTCGTGCACGAGTCAACTCGTTTGGTGTGGGTGAACCAAGGTGTTGTCACCCCACTTGCTGTCCGCCATCAAGTAAAAGAGATAACAAACAGTTTGGGATTCATTATGATGTATTAATTTTGTTGTGTTTTTGTCTATCTTTTGTTGTGTAGCTTTCCTGCGTAGATAAATACACTGTGTATCTTTAAGAAAACTCCGTTTATTAGTTATACGTTTTGTAGTCAAGAGATATTCAACCTTGGGCATATCTTGGAAGACATAGTTTCAAATATCACACTGTGCTGAAGATAAATATGGCGTGATGCCCTTAACGATTCCACGTGAAATAAATCGGGTTCTATTTCCGCATGTCAAAATTTGAGCCCCAGGTAAAATATTAGTATTATTTGCAGCTTTAATTGCACTATAATTATACCAAAGAATACTGGAATAATAGAGATAATTACATCATCATAAAGGTCATAGGGGAATTGGGTGGCCGAATGGTTAAACGCGTGCGCTTTAGATCGTAAGGTCTGAAATAGACAACTGGTGTATTTTTAATTTCCTGCTAGTACGTGACAAGGAGTAAAGTCACTTGTCGAACCTCGTAGGGTTTCTAAAGGCCCTCCGGTTTCCTCCTCGCCCACTCAGTGTCATAATACCTTGGCTGTATTAGTCATCTTTGCTTTCCTGTGGAGGGTATCTGATTTGAGAATGTCATAAGTTGTACATTGTCGTCAACCTTTGTCGGTCACGGTAAAACATGAATGAAACTAAAATTAGTAAACAGCCCGACTTCCGTTCAAGAATTAAAAACAGCAATTTAATAGATCTCACCTCGTCACTAATCGAACCAAGACATCAGACTAACCGCATTGTTATCTCAGTCAAAGAAGATTAGATCTATCATGGACCTTATCTTATATATGTATTATAAGGTCCATGGATCTATAGCTTACATTAATCAGACTGGAACATATGTTCCCGTGATTAAACTACCTCTCAGGTCGACAGAGGAACGGCACCACCATAGAAATTGTAACAATGGTTAATCACCAGATAATGACGAACCCTCGATTCTGGAATATGATCGTCTATATACTACTATAACTATCTAAATGACGAAATGATGTTTAACGCGCTGTTTTAACCAACCGGGATAATGAAGACGTGCAGTGTGCTATGAGAGCAATGTTGGATGTAGGATGTTAAACCCCATTTCATTTCATTTCATTCAGGTCTCAGTCCTGCACTCAGTCCTCTACTACTGACAGCGGAAACCGGAACTTTCATCGTGATCGAACTGGGGATATCCTGGTTAGTGACCAAGCGCCATTATCAACGGGGCACTCCACTATGGTGCCTATAACACTTGACTTTTAAATGTGTCGCCAGGGTGACAGACAATAATATATGTACTGGGTTAAGAGTGAATAACAATCATGCCGAAAAACGTCGTTTGCGAATACTAGATTAGTCTATTGAAGTGTCAACGAAATTTCTTGGGTATTGCTTCTAATTGAAAATTGTCGCCTCCGGAATATTTATCACTTGCGTTACAGACGATCGTCTCTTTAGTAGAGTCATATACCCTAAACGTTTTCCATATCCATTATAATGGGGTTCATATTCGCTATTATTCAGACATAATTTGCGTGATGGAATTTTTTAGATGTCTTATATATTGGAATATTTTAGAAATGTATAGCGGTATTTTATTGGAATATCTATGAAACGTCAAGAAGTATTTTATTGGAATATGGAAGAAATAATAAATGTATTGAAATATTTCATTGAAATATTTAAGACATGTTCTAAAGTATTTTAGAAATTCGTGTGAGTGTTCAGTTCGCCATTGAACGCTTTATAATACAATGGCAGGAAGCTTCTGGTGGATGTCGCTTGGAGAGCAAGAGCCGGTACCCTACCTGTATACAACATACAAGACGGACTTGTTACTGGCTGTGACTGTTCGATTTGATCCTATAGTCTATATTGTATCGATCGGATAATAATTAATCCTGTCAATTTCTAGTTATATGAATTTTGTTTTAATGACTATTTTTTATATATATTTCAGCCAATCAGAAGGTGGCCATAACGACGATGACGAAACCGTACAGGATCGGATTTATAAATGCTGCCAGTACGCAATAAAGATTCATAATTCGACGCTTTTCGAGAAACTGTACCAGACAATATCCCACAACGATATACATTCATCGAATCTTTTCCAAGAGGCTTGTAGAGTAGGTTGTATAGCTACCATGGATCTGTTGATTAAATCTGGTCTCAAAGTGAACAATGACTACCCCGGATTAGCGGAGGATGATAGCGCAAGTCCCCTCCTGTTGGCCGTGGAGAATGGAAACGCGAATATTGTGAAGTACCTTTGTTCGCTGCCGGAAATTGATAAAAATGCTGCAAATAAATATGGCAAGACAAGTATAATGGTGGCTGCCAATAAAGAGAACTCCGTCTGCCTTGATGCACTGATTTCCGGCGGATGTGACGTTACCGCTGTTGATAAATCGGGAAATACTGCCTTACACCACGTTTGTTATCCGTTAAAACGATCGAACAAAGCATTACAGTGTATGAAATTACTAATTAATGCCGGATGCGACATTAATGCTCGGAATCATTACGGTGACACAGCCGTACACGCCGCTCAAGTTAGACTCCATTATCATCTAGTTCAGTTTTTGATCTCTAAAAATTGTATTGTTGGTCCAAACGACTTCAGAGATGTTCCTTGTTTAAAAAGTTTGTGTTCTGGCAAGACTTACAGCATTATTCGACAAGGCTCACTTTATTACTTCAATGGATTCACGTGGTGTTGCCAAGGCACTGTTACTAAGAACGATAACTCTAATCTAATCAATTCTAGAAAGTCATCTGTGGCCTTCCAATCCCTTAAAGACGCCTGCCGATTTGAAATTCGTACTTTATTAGGAACAAATATAGCTGAAAAGGTTAGCAAATTAGGCGTGCCACATATTATCCAGGATTATATTTTATTAAAAGATATTCTGCCGGATAACTGCTTTATAGGCTAATAGGTATATCCCACCCTATGATGTATAGCTAATAGTTATAATTGCCTTAACACCGACATTGTGCAATTATGTTTCCATATAGCCTTTGGCAATATCAGTTGGGTTGAAATGACATCAATGAACAAACCAAGAATTGTTTATTATTGTGAAGTGTCTGATGGACATACGTTGTTTAAGACGTTTGGGTGTTTCTGGAATTAATCTAGGTCTGGTTGTTTGCTTGCCGGTTTGACATAATCGTGTTTGTGTATTTATTGTACTAAGCATGTACATACTGCGCACAGTACCCGGACAGAAAGGATTGTCGGATAGGTTACGGTCGAGGGTCATTTTTAATTACACTTTTTATTTACCAATCCCATTAATTTCCGATATCAATTATATTTCAATTACTTTCTAACATCTGAGATATTTGCTTTGAAGAGAGAGCTCTAAACACGTAAACTGGTTTACAAATCAAATTATCTGCTTTGTTTTATATATACTATTCAAAAAAAGTAGGGGATATTTGATTTTTAAGTGTTATTAAAGTCACCTAATGAAACTGACGAAGAAACAAATGACAAAATGAAATGAAGTTCACATTCATCGATTTATTCCAAATGATCGTTAGACTAAGTAAGGCACAGACTGACCATTATAAGGGTAAAATGATACCCGGGGTCAAACAGCAAAGTTACCACAGCATCACAACCAAGTCAGTAACGGGTAAATCCTCCTCTGTTTGCCAAACAAGCATTGATCCGACGTGGCATACTCCTAATGAGACGTCTAAGGACATTTTGGTCCAGATTGTCCCATTCCTGTTGCAACGCAGCAGCAAGTTCTTGGACATTGGCAGGACGTTGTTGGCGTTGACGTAACCTCTGTCCAAGCATGTCCCAGACATGCTCGATGGGGGAGAGGTCGGGACTCAGTGCTGGCCAAGGTAATGTGGTGATGTTCTGTTGTTGGAGGTAACCTGTAACGATCCTGGCCCTGTGACATCTTGCGTTGTCATCCTGGAAGATGAAACGGCGGCCATGACGTCGTGCGAACGGCACAACATGGACTGCCAAGATGTTGTCCCGGTAGTACTGGCCTGTAACACGCCCTGCAACAACATGTAAAGCCGTTCTTCCAGCAACACCCTCCTACGTCTGTCCAAAAAATCAAGAGTGAACCTTGACTCATCTGAAAACATCACATTGCTCCAGCGTCGATTATCCCAGTGTTGACGATCATTACACCAACGACGTCTTGCCTGAATGTGATGATCTCTCAAACAAGGGATCACGCGAGGACGTCGGGCGCGAAGGTGACCCCTATGCAGTCGATTCCGAATCGTCTGGCCACTCACTCTCACACCAGTGTCTGTTTGAAGACGAGCGCTGATCTGATTTGCTGTGATGACACGATTTCTCAAGGCCAAGGTACGGATAAATCGATCCTGGACTTGAGTTGTCGCCCTTGGTCGACCTGAGCGTGGTCTGTCCTGTACAGATTGTGTATCACGGTATCTGGACCATAGCCTGCTTATGACAGACTGAGAAACATTCATCGTCCGCGCCACAACCGCCTGTGTTGTGCCGATCTGTAGCATGCCAAGGGCACGTAACCTTTCATTTTGGGTAAGCCGACGCATATCAAAATTTGTTTTCTGGTCACTAAAACAATTAAACTGATGTTTCCACCCTGGAATTCAATGCCACAATGACTGTAACATTCAAATCTTGGGTTGGACCCCCATGATGATCCCAAGCATCACCTGCATTCCATGCGGTAGCTATTGGTGCGTTTGGGAAATGTTTCTTCTGTTAGGTTCTATAGTGACTTTTTTCGTAGTCATTTGCATATTTTAGTATTATGCCCCCAAAATCAAATATCCCCTACTTTTTTTGAATAGTATAGAATGAGAGCAATGTGCGTATATGCTTGACTGCGAGATGTTAGATTACAGAGCGGAGCAAATATCAAAAGAAAAACAATGAATTGTGTTTGCCCATTTTGTCCAATAATAGAACGAAACATGCGCATAGCGGCCACGGGAAATGAGACCGAGAGAAGCGGAGAAAATAGTTGTTGTTAGTTAGTTGTATTTTACGTCCGCTTCCACCGAGGTGATATCGCAGACAAAAAATAGAAGGTGTCCATCTTATATAGTTGTTTTATGGGCCAAGGGAGGTAAATCTGGTATTTATCAGAATTGCGCAGTCAACAGGAATTGAAGTCAACAGGTCAAATATTATCAAAAGCCAATGTCGGCTGTCTACGAAAGATATGATGACCAATAATAAACAAATGGAAATATTTGTGCGTGTTTTCAAATCAGCTTTGGAATATAGGCGGATATAAAATAACCCAAGGTTTTATTAGCAAAAAAAATGAAATTATGGTCGGTATTGTATGATGTTCCCATTGGAAACTTTCAACACCAATAACTGATCTATTGCTGACAAATTTTGTCTTTGCTCAAATCTGCATTTGTTAACCGCCAGTGCTTCTTACCACCTTGCCTTGTTTGTTATATGTTGTTTTTGATGTACATTAATACTACTTGTATTTATTGGGTGTTCCTGGGTGTCGATTTACGGACATTTTCGTCTTAGGTGACGGGGGAATGGTTGGGGGAAGGAGGGGGGGGCAATCCTTGAAAAGCAAAATAAGTCATTTCAAGATATCCACATATTTTTCACAAACTAAAACGCTTACGAATTTCCACTTCCGGAATATTTAATAAAGGACGCACGGCTAAAACTTCCCTAATTTTGTTTTATCCGAATCGGCCATATTTAAATTACAAGCGTTAACAAATTATTTGTTATGAATTAATTTTTATTTTTCGTCTATTATAAATTTAAATAATATATCTAAAAGGTTTGGGGTTTGTTTTATCTTTATTTTGTTCCAAGTATAAATAACATGTGCGTCTTGTGTGCGGGATTTCCAAAAGGGGTTGGGCGCACACCACATTATTTTTATAGCTTGAGTGATGTGCAGCATTTTACTGATAAATGCGACAAAGGAGGTAAAACAGCGATAATTTTAAATTCGAAAGCGCTTAATTTAATTTTACACCAAGCCCCCCCCCCCGCCCCGTTCCCTCCCTGCGCACAACAGGATAGATGTAAGTGCGTTATGGAATGTGTCTTGTAAAAAGAAAGCCTAAAAAAACAGATGACCCAAATAGGCATGAGGAGAACCACAGTGCGGAAAATGACAATAGATCAAATATCTTTTTTCTTATTAATCGGTAGTTTTTAACGTATAAATAATGTTACTATGAATCTCAATATTGATCTATTAGCCATATATATATATTTTTTTAATACACCCACTGGATCAGTTTGTTAAAGCAAATTTTAATGTATTTTCAAATGAATTTTCCTCGTTTTATCATATTTTATTTATTCCATAGAATTTTAAATATGTAAATGTCCTGTATTTTATATCTGACCTTATTTTTTGTTTTATAATTAAAGATACATTCGCAACAAGTCTCTATAGAGTAGTTACTTCCAATAAAAGTATGGCATATTTGATATATACATCTGGATTCCCTGAAGAAAAAAAACAACTGCCCGCAGAACAAAAATAGAAGGGTGTCACTAACGGACAGCCTGTTTACTCGAGTGACACAAGGAGTGGTCGTATGTGTTGATCTAATGGCTAGCGTGAGGGCATTTATGACAATCAGAGAGCGACTAACGACAAATATAAGCTGAGTTGATTATAGGCTTGTCATGTGACTAAATGTCTAAATAATAATTCATATAAGATTTGAAGCCGAAATAAAAACCTCCAATACGCAGATTTAGCTCTTACATAATGCATCTTTAATACTAGAGAATTTACAGACAAAATATGAACAAAAACGTGGGCGCGGCAGGGTCGTAACTAGCTCAGAGCAACCAGGGGGGGGGGGCGAGAAGTGTTCTCAGGGGTGCTGTAAATTTGACGGACAAGGTATATCAGTTTTTTTCACAGGGGGGGGGGGGGCTAAAATTTTTTCAGGTGGGACTTTGCCCCCGCCCCCCTAGTTACGGGCCTGGGGCGTGGCACCAACCTGGGTGTTGGGCATCCACCAAAATCAATAGTTGCCGTCCTTAGGGTATAAGAAGTAAATATGCCAAGTTCAGAGACGATCCATTCAGCATGGTACCCTGTAGGCGATACACACAAATTGTGGGCGCGTCTCTTTCATTGGGGATCGGGCATGCACAGATGAGCTTCGTATATACGTTATCGGCAAATAGGGGGTTGATAGCTCAAAATCGTTTGGGAAACACTGTTTTTGCAGGGGCGACTTTGCCCCCGCCCCCCCCTCCTAGCTACAGGCCTGGATCGTGGCACCACCCCTGGGTGTTGGGCATCCACCAAAATCAAATGTTGCCGTCCTTAGGGTATAAGAAGTAAATATGTCAAGTTGAGAGACGATCCATTCAGCATGGTACCCTGTAGGCGATACACACAAATTGTGGGCGCGTCTCTGTCATTGGGGATCGGGCATGCACAGATGAGCTTCGTATATACGTTATCGGAAAATAGGGGGTTGGTAGCTCAAAATCGTTTGGGAAACACTGTTATACTAGTTACTATCGTTTCCCGAAAGACAAATAACAGTTAATCAATTATGAAAACATGTATCCCATTCAAATATTTTACACAGTCTTTTACAGTTCTGTATTTTGAGTTATTTACGGACAAACTCCATTACCAATACATTATCAATACGCTAAAACGGTGTGTTTAAAAAAAAAACATGTAACCGGAAGTAAAAATTCTGGTGAAATGTCACAGAAGACATTAGAATGCCACGGATTTTGTTGTTCTTAGTTATATATTACAATTCAGAAGATCAGCCAAGTAAATTAAAGCTTTCCACATCTATCGAAAATGTAAAAAAAAGGGTCTAGCCATCAACGGCTATTTAGCTTTAGCAACATTCAAACGAAAAACATATACCAGAAGTCAGAGGGATCTGCAGTCGATACCATTCAAGTCAAGAATGAATAAATCATCAACTCGACGAATATAAAACCACTTAGAAGATCAATTTAACAAGTGAGATACTGAATTAGTGGTCTGCTTCCTCATTGCATAAAATGAAGCTACCTCCCCTGACTATTAAAACACTATTCCGGTTCGAAACCGACACATACACATGATGGATTGCTTACCCCAGTTGAAGGTAAATGCATTATTTTAAAAAGCATTATAGATACCACTAATAACATGTTTACATAACAACCTATGTTTAATAAACAACAATGGCCATAGCTATAGCAATGGTTAAAGAAAGAAAACTTTCACACATCTATGAAACAGTTTGGAACAAGCCTATGTCAATTACTTCCTGTTCTTTTCGCTACTTTTTATCATACCAACCTGATTTTTGACATCTTCGTTATATTGTTGTGAGGGGGACAGTGTGTGGGCAGTTTGAGTGGGCACATTTGATTCACGAAGGGTGGAACGAGTGATACTTGTTTTCGGCAAATAGTTCATGCAGACATGTTGTTACTTTTGGCTTAGATAGACGATTATATATAGAAACTTTCGTTTTGCTGAATTAAAAAAAAAAGAATCCCACATTTGGCTTGTTTAAGCGATAGAGTTTGTGTGAAGTACTGGGGTCGTGAGGGGACCGATGTTATACGACCCAACCCCCACCCCTTGACACATCCACACACAAACCATCCTGAAACTCTGTCAACTCTATAGAGGCTACAATTGTTAACAGAGTTTTTTTTCCTAATTTAGCGGAAAGCATTGTGGTCATTAGAGGACACGTGTCAAAACCGATGTGTATATGTGCCTTGGTACACAGCTGAAGTTTTCGAAAGAATGCAGCACTGTTGGATAATTCTTCGTTAGAATTTATCTGGTATTTTTGGTTACTATGCTACTGGAAAATGCTTGTGAAAGTAAAGACAAAAGATGTCGCGGTGCGGACATTGGCGTAGCCACAGGAATGGCGCTAAAACGATGAGTTAAGTCTGATGTGTCTGTTCTTCTTCGGGACCCTATTAGTTTCACAATGCAAACACATTTTGTTGTTTAATGCTCGTAACGTTTGAAAAAAAATTAAGATTGGCTAACTTTATCAACCTGTTTCACAGAGTATTACAAAAGTCTTCTAATATATCTGTAAAAGATGACTGCCTTCAACACATGACGTCATATCACGCGGCGCCAATCATTGGCTCAATGGCGCGAGCATTATTTCGAGCAGAATGGTGCCTCTTACTCATTTTAATACCCATTTACACTAAAATAGGAAATGATTTTTACCCACAAAAACTTCAAACGTCTTTATTTATTTTTCTAATACATAAAAAAAAAATCTTTTAGAATTTAATTTATCGGAGGGAAAAAAGATAATATTTGTGGCTCATTAAGTCGCGTCGTTGTCATCCTTATCAGTGATTGTCGCGGAATAGCGAATATTTACTGAATACTCCCTCCTTATTGTGAAAAAGTAACATAATACTTCAATTATATAAAAGAAATGTACAACAAATAGATATTTCTAATGTTTACACTTTTTATATGATTTAACTCATTGATATTAAAGTAATTGGAGAATTCTGTCAGTTTTGAATAATAATAAGGTAGTATGTGGTTGTATTTTGTAGTATTGGGTTAGAATTGGGAGATATCTGGCTAGTTTTTGAGAGACGCTTGAGCTACCGGGTACTGATACTATAAATAGACTTTTACAGTTTATTGTACAATTGCTGATTCCAAAAATTAACTCATTATTGGGGGTATAATAATTCAACAAGTGTCATAGTTTCTCACGATAATGGGGTAGTTTGTGGTAGTATTTAGTTAGTATTGGGTAAATCGTCCTACCTCCACCCTTTATGCCATTAATTATAACTAATTAAATAATGAAACAAACTCGGCGAAATGTTACGACACAATTTTCGCATAACTGCAAGTATTAACGGTTAGGTTAATCCAGCGTTGTTTTTCAATGATTTGGCCGAAATTATACGTTCATTCATTGTTATGCTGTATTACGCATGCGTGAATCATAAGCCTATTAACAAACCCAACAAATTCCTACATTTGGTGACGAATGTAGTGCTAGCTATTTATAGCCTAATTCTCCGATATATTTTTCTTCCTTTTTCAGACGTTTCGTTTTATGAGAAAGTTTTGAATTTTGAATATCTTGTTAGTTTTGGTGGGAAAAGAAAACATTTGTGCGGAAGTATAACATTGGCAAAAAATGCCTCAAGACGGCTTAGATTGAACCGGAAGTAAAGATTTGACTTTATTTTTCCTGATTTCCAAAGTGAACTTTATATATGCTTCGGAGGATATGATTGGCTCGTGAAGGAATTAGCTAAACGAATATTAGGGAAAAAATTACGGCCTGTGACATGGGCTTGAAATAACATTGGAGTCAATAAGGGTGCAATAATGGCGTACTTCTGGCAACAATAAAAGGTTTGGACGTTTGGTTTTAGACTTCAAATGAAAATATCTGCCTTACAACTACTTAGAGGCTCCAACTGAAAAGAGATGCTTTGTGTCAATGTCAGGTAAGATTATATACTTAATAGTAGTTGGGTGTGGAGGAAATTGAATAAATAACAAGTATAAATCGTTAATATCTTTAGTATGGCTGTCGAGACGTTCGTCATTACAGGAGTGAGACATCACGAAATTATTTATTCTAAGCGGTGCATTATAGTAATTCTAACAAACACACTTCAGTAAATTCTTATTTACACTATGCATGTTCTTTCAAGTGTGTAAATAAGGCGCGTATCAAATTTCTTACTACATAATATACTGTGAAATGAGATGGGGTTTAACGTTCTACTCCCACTCATGTTCCTGAAGCAACTACCGCGATAAGATGTATGAAGTTAAATCGAGATCAAGCTTTTATTTATAGGTAGCTACAATATTGTCGCGCTAAACTGTACAATCAGAGGACCTTGATCCATGAAATATCGAAAGGAGTCGATATCTCTTGGAGATAAAACCTGTACTTAAAGTTTCGTCAAAATCGGATAAAAATTGTGACCTGTAGACTGTCCACACAGTAACTTTGTCAATTGTGTAAGATCCCTTAAATACAGATTAAACAGCCAGTTGTTACAAACCATCTATACTTATTTCATTTCCACTCATTTTGATTATTGTGACTTCATCTGGGACAACTGCACCGACCAACTAGCTAACAAATTAAATTAGAAATGAAATGAAATGGGGTTTAAAATTAAATTAGAGCACCTGCAACTGGGAGCCCTTGTGTGGTGCCGCAAGGGGTACCAACCATAGACTGTTTTATTAAGCAAAAATAGAACTGCATCAGACAAAAACTCAAATTCATTTATACAATTATTAACGGCCTTTCTCCATCTTATCTTCATGATTTTATTTTGACAAAAAGCGCACATTATAGAGAGAGAGAGAAATGGGGTTTAACGTCCACTCGACACAAACTAGGTCATTTCGGGACTAACATGGTTTAATTTTATTTCAATAATTCGCTTGCGCATAGGGGTCTTTAGCAGTGAGAGGAAACCGGGGGACCCGGAGAAAACCCACGAGGTTGGACAGGCGATCCTACTCCTTGTCACGTACAACCGGGGATTCGAAACCACGCCAGACTTTATGATACAGCGCGCGCACGCTAACCATTCAGCCATCCAACCCCCCGCACATTATAATCTCCGTAAAACCAATCTACCTGAATATCAGTGCAAAACAAATATTTTCAATAATTCTTTCATAAATAGGTAACTATGATGTCAGAGACAAGCTAATCTGTATAAGTAATCTGAATCTTGGGATTGATTCTAATCACTTCAACCCCCACCCCCACCTCCCCAAACTAGACGGTTTTGTGTAGGGTTTTGCTATGTAGAATAGATTTGCTTCCATAATGAGCAATGAGGTCAGTAGCATATTTTCTATATTTTCAGATTTTGGGAGTCAATCCAGTTGAATAGAATTGAGGATGTGAGGTTATTTCTTCAACAGATGCCAAACACTGCAGTGGCCAAAAACAAATTCCGTAAAGAGGGCTGCAAACAGGCTCTACAACTGCGAAATTTGGTCCTCACACAATTGTTATACACCAACGAATTGATTTACAACAGAACAGAACGTCTGGACACACGTAATAATATAGAACTGTTATCCAGTGCCATTGAATCAGATTTTGTGGAGGGGTTCAAATTTCTACTGAATTGTGGATTATCTTTCGAATGTGGATTTTGGTCTGCGTTGTTTGAAGCTGTTGTCACAGAGAAAATACAAATATTAAAATATTTAATATCATTTCCAGTTCTATGCGTCAATTCGAAATTTCATGAAACTATTCTTACAGTGGCTTGTAAGAAAGGTAACTTGGAAATAGTTTCAATTTTGTTGAAGCATCAACAAGTCAAGGATGTAATAAATTGCGTCTCACTTCGCTCGGGTCTTTCAGCTTTGCATTTATGTATAGATTGGTTCAAATGTGAGACCACGTGTCTTTTGTTTGTAATGGCGTTAGTTGAAGCAGGGGCTGATGTAAATATTGTATCCAGTGCACTCATACCCGCTTTGTGTAGTGCGGCAAGTAGGGGATTTATGTCGGTATTGGCATATTTAATGGATCATGGGGCTGATGTTTCGGTCGTAGATCTGAATCTAGATACAGTTCTTCACCAAATTGTCACCAAACCAAACGCCATTTTGTTTGTACAGAAATTAATCAAATCTGGACTAGAAATAAATTTACAAAATAAATTCGGCGAAACTCCATTACATTTAGCTACCAAATATAAAAATGAGTGTATTGTGGATATGCTATTGAAAACACACGGCTGCGGTGTGGATTTATCCGATAAGATGGGAATCACCCCACTGATGTTGGCCGTAGAACAAAATGAGATCGGCTTTATCAAACTTCTATCCCAGCATGGCGCTGATGTCAACAAGCAAGATATTTTCGGGGAATCCTCATTACACCGATTAATACAAAATGGCAATAAAAGTGTTGTTGATGTTTTATTGAGTTCCCGTGCGTGTGATATAAATTTATCAGATAAGTGGGGAATCACGCCATTTATGTTCGCTATAGAACAAAACGAGACCCAAATTGCCAAACTTCTGCACCAACATGGCGCTAATATCAATAAACAAAATATCTGTGGGAGGTCACCACTACACTTAGCAATACGATATGGCAATAAAAGTGTTGTTGATGTTTTATTGAAAGCTCATGGTTGTGTTGTGAATTTATCAGATGGGTTGGGAATTACACCATTTATGTTGGCTGTAGAACAAAATGAGACCCAAATCGCCAAACTCCTATTCCAACATGGCGTTGATGTCAATAAGCAAGATATTCTCGGGAAATCCCCGCTACACCGAGCAATACAAAATGGCAATAAAATTATTGTTGATGATTTATTGAAAGCTCATGGCTGTGATGTGAATTTATCAGATGGCGAGGGAATTACACCAATTATGTTGGCTGTAGAACAAAATAAGACCCAAATCGCCAAACTCCTATTCCAACATGGCGTTGATGTCAATAAGCAAGATACTTTCGGGAAATCCCCGCTACACCGAGCAATACAAAATGGCAATAAAATTATTGTTGATGATTTATTGAAAGCTCATGGCTGTGATGTGAATTTATCAGATGGCGAGGGAATTACACCAGTTATGTTGGCTGTAGAACAAAATGAGACCCAAATCGCCAAACTCCTATTCCAACATGGCGTTGATGTCAATAAGCAAGATACTTTCGGGAAATCCCCGCTACACCGAGCAATACAAAATGGCAATAAAATTATTGTTGATGATTTATTGAAAGCTTATGGCTGTGATGTAAATTTATCAGATGGCAAGGGGATCACGCCATTGATTTTAGCTGTAGAACAAAATGAGACCCAAATCGCCAAATGTCTACATCAACATGGCGCTAATATCAATAAGCAAGATATCAACGGGAGATCCCCGCTACACCGAGCAATACAAAATGGCAATAAAAGTATTGTTAGTGTTTTGTTAGAGATACATGGCTGCGACGTGAATTTATTTGATAACCAAAACATATCCCCGTTAATGTCGGCTGTCAAAAACAAAAACCTAGAACTCATTAAATGTCTTTGTCAACATGAAGCTGACATCAATAAACAAGATAGTCTCGGTAGATCTGCTATTTATTACGCTTTTCCCAATCATAGATTTTGCTTTTCCTTCTATGATACAGGGAACGAAATCGAAATAATGAAGTTATTGGAAAGCTTTGGTGCGGAATTTAGAACACAAAACCGTGGCAACGAATTAGTCAAAAACATATTGAGAGCTTCAGGATTTGGATATTTTCAGCATTTAGTTGATTCCAGTAAGATTGACTTCGATGATATTGATGAAAATGGTGATAACATTTTACATGTGTTGGCCAGGGTGCGAGATTTACCTACTACTTCTTTAGACGTCTTTCTGAATGGTGAAGGCGTTGATATAAACCTTAAAAACTCTACTGGTAACACACCATTAATGGTTGCAGCTGTTTTGAACAACGTTCCTTACATGAAGATTTTGGTGGATCACGGCTGTAAGTTAGATATAAATAATTGTTATGGGCATACTGTTTTACATCTGTGTGTTTTAGGACTTGTAAACCTGGTTTTTCATGACTTTGAAGAATCTGAACTGAATCTCGAATGTCTGGACGTTGTATTATGTAAAGCTATAGATGTTAATGTACACGATCTTGCTGGGATGACAGCCTTAATGATCGCTGCTCAACTTGGAGAATATAACTTTGTGAAAAAGCTCCTCACAGCTGGTGGAGATATTAAGATATTAGATAAAACTGGAAAGCCCATATCTGGTATTGACTTCTATTCCGTACCAGATCTTAAGTTGTCTAAGTCCATTATGCGAAGTTGTGGAGTGGACACAACAGATAGAATGGGACTGTCTATGATGGATTTGGCCGGGGAATTTATTGAACGCAATCAGTTTCCGAATGCCCTTGTTCTGATTTCCTACCTAGTGGCTGCGAACTATCACTTGAAGAATACACACGACAGACATTATTTCTACGAGGCCAAGGAATCCACTAGAATTATTGATCTTTGGAAACTGTTATATGAAAGTGGGGCTGCCAGGGTTGACATTGTTTCTAAATTAAATTTCATACCAGTTGAGGACGAAGACCAACCATTGTCAATAGAATCAGAATTTCATTCATTTTGTAATAACTTATCATTAAGATCAATGTGTAGGAGAATTATAAGGCAACGTTTGGGGTCAAACATAAAGGAAAGGGTTACACTGCTGAAGCTACCAATGATGGTGCAGAATTTTCTTCTATTAAAATGTTCCGTAGCAGACAAATATTTCAGCCTAGAAACAGATGATGACGACGAGGATGGTGATGATAATGATGATGATGGCGGCGGTGGTGATGATTTAGAATACAACTGGGAAAGCTTTAGTCTGAGCGATTTCTGTGAAGAGGACTATTATGATATTGACCAGTAGTCCATGTGACAGGTCAATTTTCATTACCAATTTGATGAATAGATTTAACTATGATTTTAGGTCTAAAGTGTCCACAATTGATTGATCGAATTCCGGATCAGTTTACCAAAATCTTGTTCAGACCCATATAAGCCAAATTTTCTATTTGGTCAACTAAAGTAATTTACAAGATATCAGAATCATTGATCATAAAAAAATAATCTCTAATATGAGTGTCCCAAATTCAAGATGGCAAAAATTCAAAATGGCGACCAAATTTTCTAATATATTTATGATATATTCAGTTGTTAAGAATTTTAAGTTCTCCTATTCGTTCAGAAATGGTAATGTGGTCAGTTTTTACATCGAAGACTCTATGCCCGGCAACAATTGTCGCATAATCTAGATAGGGTATCCACAAGTCTGGAATAAATTTTCAGAAAGCTGAACTCAACTGTTCTAGCATGCTATTTGCTTATCAAAATACCAAAAGTCTTTCAAAATCGGATTTGCGACTCTAGGCAAAAATCGATATTCAATCCAAGATGGTTGACGATGGTTGATAGAGCATCATCCTCCTCCTCATTATCCCCTCCATCTGTATTAATATCGGGTTTGGTGCTATTAACACAACTACCGGTGCAGGAGAATCCATATCTTCGACACCCACACCTCATACTGGCACAGTATGTGGTGCAGTTACAGTGTACTATCACTCGTCACATCAGTCAGTTATATAGAGGTATGACTCGTGTTTTCCTTTGGCGTTCGTCACTACCGATTCAGGAAACCTGTATTACTCAGCTATCGTAGCAATGATCTCTGTGTTAAAATTATATTTGGAATGTGTTTAACCAGCTCTATCACACATGTGATAATGACTGGCACCAATATTGTCCTTTAAGGGCTGTAGAAAATATGATTTTTATATAATTACATTTCATTTTACGATATCTAATGGATTAAACCTGTCTAATACATATTTGTTAATCTGATTAGATATTTGAGCAAAATAATTTGAAGTACCTGTTACTTGATACAGTCGTTTGTTATTCTTTATCACTGGAGTGGAACGAATTAGTAAATATGTATTCTATTTAGTTTTTTATACACACACAGAGTAGTGTAAACACCAGGGGCCTGTTTCACGAAACTTTATTAAGATAAAATCCAAATTTTACTAATATGATGGGATGATATTAGATTGATTTTAGTGCTTAGCTAATCAAACTTGAAGTATCTAATAAAATTTGGATTTTATCTTGAGTTAAGATTTCGAGAAACAGGGCCCAGGTGATGTTGACCCTTTTATATAATACCATCCTTTTTATTGATACCCTATATCTGAAAAACATCAGGTGATGTTCAGGTGATGTATAAAATACCATCCTGGTTATAATGGTATTTTTTTCAATACATCTACACCATATCTGAAATATATATGTTTACTTTATACATGGTCTGTTGCGTTTATAAAACGAAGACAAAAACGTAACTGTTTAACGTTATAACATCCTGGTAAGCGAAATTACAAAAGGGGAGGTGTGGTAACCCTTGCATAATTTTACTTCGAATATGTCGACATCGAGGAAGTGAAAACAGAGGTCCTAGTAACAGTAGCTTACTAGCGGGAATCAACAATCATGTGGGACGGCAACGTTTCAAAATATTAATCTTTATTCCAAAATCTTCACTTCGTACGACTTCTGTTCTGTAATTTATATGATATCTGTAATTGATTTTCCTCTTAATATCTCTCAATGCACAACAGATCTGTCCGTCACTTGAGCGACGAACGGGGTGTATAATAGGGTTAGATCTAAATATTAAGGCCACCTGTTTTCATCTCGTAACCTTGACGAGGGTAGCATATCAAAGAATGTGCTGGGTCAATCATTGGGGAAACCACACGAAACGGGTACATCTCATTGAAAATAAACCGAGCTCTGGCGCACACATTTTCATCTGCATTAAAATATCTGGAAAAGGTAGAAAAATCAAATTTACCCCAATTAGAAGAAGAGTTTTTGCGTCACAAAGTCTCGACCAATCATATTGATTTATCTACTTAACCTTAGCTCTTGTATAATGCTCCATGGATGTGATATTTTGACTATTAGATATGGTTCTAATGCAGGCATTCCAAAATGAGTTTCAGTATTTCCATCCAATCAGGAATAACAAATGTATTGGTTTGAAATTTTGCGGAGTTAAAATTAAACACCACAGAGGCATTATTATTAAAGTCTCTAGATATTTATCAAATCAATACCATTCAAATCAACCAATAAATAACCAAGTTATTGATTTTTAACCTAAAGACTTTTCACGGAGTAAATTGTTTTATGAGGGTAAACAATAAAGTGGGGGACCCTCGGTGCGAATGTTCTTAAAGTGTGAATCCATTTGAATTCATTGGCTTTCCTTACGGCATCGTTTTTGCCGTTATCTGGGTCAGTCTTAAAAAGCTCTATAATTTTTTAAAATTTTAACATTTCTACTCGTATGTCTATTTAAGTTGAAGTGTAGTGCGACCGGTTTTGGCCTGCTGTGTCTAATATCTGCATAGTGTTCCTTTATTCGTTTTGAAAAGGCACGTTTGCTTTCTGCAATCTGTTTCACAGAGAATTGCGAGAAGTAATATCTCTGTCAAAGATTACTGCCGTCACAGCACGCGGGTTGCATTGTTTACATAAGACGTTACTGCTTCGGGCGGAATGCTGCCTTTTAGTCATTTTAATACCCATTTACACTAAATAGGAAATAATTTTTACCTCCAAATACGTCAAACGCCTTTATTTATTTTTCCATTACATACAAAAAATGTTTTAGAATTTAATTTGTCGCAGGAAAAAAGTTAATATATCTGGCTCATTAAGTCGCATCGATGTCATCCTTATCAGTGATTGTAGCGGCCTAGCGAAAATTTACTGCTGATCAGTGTGTGCTTTCTGCTACGTATTGTTTTTTGCAGAGGGAGCATGTTAATAGGTAGACTATATTTCTACTTAAAATATTATAGCACGTGCGGCAGGAATATTTCTTACCAGTTTTACCACTAAATAAGTAGTTATTTTGGTCTAATTTGTAGCAGATATCACAATCCTTCTTGATACATTTTTCGAATAGATTTTGAACAGTGACTCCGCTGGTTTGCGGGTCCCGTGGTGGATAGATGAGTATTGGTTGCATCAGCGTATCCTTCAAATTAGGATTCCTCCTAAATGCCGTAAATTTCTTAGCCGAATATCTTTGCACACTTTTCGGAATAATCGACTCCGGTGCCAAAGATCGACACCGGTTCATCTGTGACGTCACATGTGCTCCGGTGCCCACCGACACTATATATAGAGGGCCACCTCGGTGGAAGCGGACGTAAAAAACAACTAACTAACAACAACAACATCCTCATTAGGCCCGAAGAGTTCGAATAAGAACGAAACTGGTAGCTGAGAGAAATCTGGGAAGGCTGTTCGCCTATTTACAGATTTTTTACATGTTTTATGAGGGTTACGTTGTTATAAGATTTACTGACTTGCTTCTACTTCCACACCTGTATATAGCTGGGTGAAGGATACTAAATTGAGAACATTACAACCGGTCGGGGCCAACTTGCTCCGGAGTTTTTCATGAGGCTCATCAGATATGGATAGAGTGACATTAGAATGTACAATATTTTGTACGACGAAAGGGTTAAACTGAATATTTCTTTGTTTTGAAGAGGGTATTTTCGTGTTTTGCAGATAGAATTTGGGGTTTTTTTTAATGTTCAAAAACAGCTTGCGCCTGTCTGTTCAGGGCCAACCCATGGACAGACACTACAGATGGAGCAATTACTATAGTCTTTGACCTGATAGAGATTCGGTTTCAGCCGAGTTATTTGCCCCTGAATTTGATAACCTCGCTCATGAACATGAAAGTAATAGACTTTAGACGCTATAGTTATCCCCAACCTATTATATTTTGTGAAAAGGGTTTTCAAAGTCACAGCCGCCGGTGAGTCTAACCGAGAGAAACCTTGATAAAGGGATTGAATAACGACTAAAGGGAGGTAACCAGCGAATAGGATTAAAGTTGTGAAAATCCACGTCGACGTTTTGAGCGTCATCAAATTTTGACATTTCCGGTGTAATTTGACAACATGGCAGATTACAGAACAAGAAATGGTAAATATTTGATTTATTTCATTATACTGGAATTACTATATTCCATGACCATAATTATCTAAATTCCAGATAATCGTGTACAAATGTTTCTTTACCTCTACTTCTCAATGAATCAGCTTTTCAGTACCGTAGGTGTAGTACGTTTATATAGTTTGACAGTTTAACCACGTCCACATATGAAATATGAATTACCCGGACTCCTGACTGAAAGTTTCAATTTCAGATTTTTAAGTTATATTTTTAAAATGTATTAAAATAAAGCCCTTAAATAGATGGTATCTATAAACAGTCCTACCTTGTTAAAGAATAATCCGGTACTATTTCAGTAACGTACCTCTACCAGTTCCCATGATCGTAGAGACTTGAAATTTTCAGGGGGTATTCATGGAGCCTAGCCATGACCTCACATCAAATTTCAGCTGAATCTGTCAATAACTTTTTATTTTACCGTATTTAGCTTATAACGAGAGAAAGTTTATCCGATTTTGACGCCATTTTGTTTGTTGGCTATTTAGACAAGACAGGGTTAGGGTTAGGGCTAGCCCTGTCTACATCTTGAGACTATGACGAAATCTACAGGTCCTAGCCCTTACCCTAACCCTTATCCTAACCCACAATCCACATATGACGTTATGCGAGTCTAAATAGTCAACAAACAAAATGGCGTCAAAATCGGATAAACCTATCTCTTATAGAAGCCAAACTACGGTAAAATAAAAAGTTATTAATTTGGTGTGAGGTCATGGCTAGTCCCCGTGAACACCCTCTGAAAATTTTAAGTCTCTACGATCACAGGAACTGGTAGAGGTACGTTACTGAAATAGTACCAATAATCCTATTAATCCAATAATTAACTATTGCCAGTTCAATTGAGAAATTGGCAAAAATATCATTTTCAACTTCAAATTCAAACCTTTGAAGATAGCTATTTCATGGTGGGGAGTAGGAAAACAAGGGAGGTAATTGTGTTATTATTTCCAGTGTGAAGATTTTTAAGTGTGAGAAAGATAACCTATGATCGTATAATAGTGAGTTGACAACCTATTCAAAAGACATAGAAATAATTACGTCCCCTTCTGCTAAACTACTTGACTGACACCATTGAAATCTAAATACAGGGTAATGCACAAATTTACGTAATTCGGTCATATTAGACTAACAAAATTTTAGGTAAGACTGGGGGGAAAAAATTGAAATCTTTGAAAAGATGAGAATCTTAAGACATTTATTGCTTTGCTTAGCCTAAGTTTTCAAAATTCCCAATTTTGTTTCACCTGCTTACCTAAATTTTTATCTGATGTAAAAAATAAATGTTGGACTATAGCATCCTGGAATGTGGTCTCTTATGTTCTCCGTCCATCTCTTGCTTGGCAACCACTTGTTGTTATTCATATTCATTCAAGAGGAAATTTTATAAAAATAGCTGAATTTTTGCTATGTGCTGCAAACAACTATTTTATCTTTGGTAAGAGCCGTCTAAATGTGGGAAAATTTACACTAACTATTGGTAAACAGCATACTAGTACGAAGGCAAACAATCTTATTTGCATAATGACCGGAATTGTCAGCAACCAATATGTAGAACCGTATAGTGTGTACAGTAGGTAGCGTGCAGCACTATAGCAGACGATATATCAACCTCGCATATACTGTCCAGTTGGCCATTGAATGTAAATAGGATAAACCATTTATATCTGTTGTGTTCATTGCCCTGAAATTAATACTAACATCTGTTTGCCTTTGGTTGTGAAATGCATGGAAACAGAGCATCAGAGTAAATAATAGTTGATTAGAGACGTGAACTGTGATTCCGTGAACGAACTTAAGACAATGTATCAGAAAATTATAACCAAGGATTAACCCTTTAAAATAAAGAAATAATAATAATAATAGTCTCATAAATACCAGAATGAAAGAAGTTGTCAGTTCCATTTTAAGCAAAATACCCTGTTGGTATGAGGGTATTTTCACTCAAAAACATGTAATAGCCTATAAGTTTCTGTGGATAAAAAGAAGTAGGTTGTAGCATAGCTGCCCTGAAATGAAATGGGTTTTATAACATCTTACTTTTCTGCATTGGCTTGGCTAAAGATTTATTTTTCTTCTGTAGGGAAAACAGAAGAGATGCTTGATTATGAAAACCAGCAGAAAGTGGAAGGGCTTTCATCAAAAATATCCAGATTAAAAGAGGTAAATAGAATCATTTCCTCGTGTGAATAATTTTGTTGGTACATATATGGATAATTGAAATATTGACAACAGTCTAGTTAATCACCAACATGAGCATTATTTTGTCAGTAGTGCTCAAAGTATTGCACAAATTGACAAACAAGGAAAGTTATGATATAGACATGCATATTCTGCACATCATTTCCAAAATTTAAATGATTTCATGAAAAAATTAATTATAACTGAAATTTCAACAAAAATGGTTATATTAGTAGGACTGATTTTCTCATGTGAATAATTTTGTTGGAATGGAAGTAAATTTGGCTGGTATGCTCGGCAAATCATTTTCTTGTGTGAATAATTTGATTGGTGTGGCAGCAAATTGCTTACATCATAACCAGTTGTCGGCAAATCATTTTCTCCTGTTAATAATTTGATTACTGTCTGATTCATCGTAAATTTTAAACGGATTTCTTCGATTATGAACAAACTACTTAACTTTGGTTATTATAAACTTACCTGTGTGTTTGTAATGAACTCCCGTTCGATAAAATCCATTGCACAACTAATTATCACAACGATGAGAACAATTTCTCTCTTGAAAAATTTGAAAATTTACTTGTAATTTCGACCGAGTCGATGTCAACAATGTCTTCGTGACGTAATGGTCGAATCCAATATACCTGTTGCGGGTGTTGGTTAACATTGAAAGATAGTTTGACAGCGCGATCATTTTGATCGTATATGGGTTTGGGCGACGAAAAATATCAATTGAAGGCAATTACATAGGAGATTTATATGGAAACCATTGATCGCCAGTCTATCAAATTTTCTTCACAATTAAAATATCACTGATTGCACGGATACTCGTAAAAATAAAGTCATGAATAAACTATAAATATCCTATCTTCTTTATGTTATAAATAATTTAACAAGGATCATGAAGCTTACCTCCGAATTCTTTGAGTGTATTTTTAATTTTATACGCATTCTTTCGATCGAATAATAACCACTTCAGTAACATCTTTAAGCGTGTTGCGGCAGCCCTCAGCGTGTCTATTGCCGTATTGGGTGCCCGGGTGGGTATATAATGCTACTAAGCCCGTATGACCCCGTAAGAAGCGGAACATTAATTCTCGATTCGACAGTTTTGACCGAAGTGTGATAAAGCCCGTAAAACGAATGTATAGTTGTGTTTGTGCGGCATGCGTGTTCAAAAGTAAATAATCCCATCCGAGTCGCTAATCAAATAATTAGAACAAAATATTTCAAAAAGTAAAGCTATAAAATTTGCAGAGATTTTACTAGAATGTAAAAGACGGTAACTAAATACAGGAATGCGGGTAGTTATGTGTGCGAACGCTCAAACTCAATGCCAATTGTCGTAGGTATCCAGACCATTCGGACCAAAGACTACTCGGACTAAGACCAGTCGGACCAAAACAAGACCAGTCGGACCAATTAAATTATATTATAAGGCTAGACAATATGCTATTTATTTATTATTAAATCACAATACAAAGAAGCAAATAATTCTTATACGGAATTCTTATATTTAGAGTTGTTTGGTTCAATTTTGTGTGCGGAAAATAAATCAACGATTAGTTTTAAAATTAATTAATAATGGTGCCAAAAGAAAATATCAATCTAATTTTTCTTTACTCTTGCAATGAGACTCGGTATGTCCAGACTTTTGACAGTTTCTACATATACGGGTATACTGTTCTTGTCTGATAGCCTAATTTTACTTTTTCCACATTCGCGGTATCCCCAGTGGTTTCATTCCGTTCTACCCCACTAACCCCTGGGTTACTATATATGGGGGGGGGGGGGTGGAGACACGTTTTCAAGTTATCCGCCCTTGATGCGTTAATATAAACAGCACATAATAATACGAAGACCGGACGTTTATATGCCCCTTTTTAAACGTGACTACAAGTGTGGTTCTCGATATTTTGCGATTTGGAATACAATTATCAATTTATTCAAACAACACGTTATTATTAGTTCGAGTAGTCATATTAAAACACACACAATTATCAATTTATTCAAATAACACTTTATTATTGGTTCGAGTAGTCATATTAAAATAAACACAATTATCAATTTATTAAAATAACACTTTATTATTGGTTCGAGTAATTATATTAAAACAAACGCAATTATCAATTTATTAAAACAACATTTTATTATTGGTCAGAGTCGTCTTTCTGTTGGGTCCGAATAGTCTTTTTGTATGGTCCGAGTAGTCTATTTGTTTGGGCTGAGTGGTCTATCAGTTGGTCCGACTGGTCTTGAACCGAGTGGTCTTTGGTCCGAGTGGTCATGGATTCTTGTCGTAATTGTACTTGAATTTCCTATGCTGTCACCCCTAATACGAAATGATATCTTCCACAGAGTGACATAACCATCTTCCATATTGGTATTTTTCTCTGGGAAAAGTTTGTGATATTTCAATTTTTCAAGAGAGAACTTGTTTTCATCGTTGTGATAATTAGTTGTGCAATGGATTTTATCGAACGGGAGTTCATTACAAACACACAGGTAAGTTTATAATAACCAACGTTAAGTAGTTTGTTCATAATCGAAGAAATCCGTTTAAAATTTACGATGAATCAGACAGTAGCATAGGAGTTGGTTGCTCATACATGTGCGGTAACCAGTTATTGGTAAATTATTTGATTGGGATGGCAGTAGATTGTTCATACATGTATGATAACCAGTTATATTGGTAAATCATTTGGTTGGTAGGGCAGTTGATTGCTCATACATGTATGATAACCAATTATTGGTAAATTATTTGATTGGTAGGGCAGCAGGTTGTTCATACATGTACGTAACCAGTTATTGGTAAATCATTATCTACAAAAATATTCCAGTAGAGCAAAATATGTTAAACCTAACCTAACCATGTCTGTATCTTATAATTGAATATATTTCTGTTTGATAGTTTCATTTAACTGATGTTGTCGAAATATGTCATGTGGGCATGTGTACAGATGGTCTGAACCTATTTGTAGATCCCAAAGATCATTAAATCTGTGCTTCCCAATCCTTTTCTACTCTGAAGACTCCATATTTTAAATATGCATGTACAGTGTATGTTCAGTGTTATCAATTTCTGAAGGAAACAGTGTAATTTGATATTTTGCATTTGGGAAGCTTAGTCCAAAACATTTTTCTGTGATGATTTATTTGAGATTGATCATTTTTCCTCACCAATAGTCAAGTTAAATTTGAAATCTTTTTTTCTTCCAGATAGCTGTTGATTTGGATCATGAGTCACGAGATTCTAACTCATTTCTGGACAGCATGGTAAGCTATTTATTATACCATATTCATAGTGTATTATTGTCAAGAGTTTAAAGTATTTTAATCCAAACCCAAGTCAGATTTGAGATACTAACAAGATCAACATGTAACTCAAGCAGCTAAAGATAAACATAGTTTATGTTCAAGAGACAATTTCGAATAATTACTTTCAGAGTTACTAATGAATGTGCTAGAGGGTAAAGTAAACATCCTAACTCCGAATTTATACAAAGTGTTTAAGTCCCTGAGACGAAAAAGTCTATTAATTATCATTGATTTCTGACAATTACTTTAAGAGTTATGGACCTTGATCATTTTTAAATATCTTGAGGAAGCTTTGGAAACAAAGTCTTCATCCTGTCGACGACTTATTATTTACACACACTGTTATTATGTTCATGAGACAAGGAATCTTCCTGAATTTTAGCGATCACTTTCAGGGGTATTTCCCTTGGTTACTTTGAAACTTTTTGTGCATGCTGTCTGTCTTCTGCAGCCTTACGTCTGCTTCCACTAGGAGTAATATCGCAGACAAGTGTCTCCAAGGAAACTTACAGGAAAAGCCAGTCATGAATGAGAGGCTCGTGGAATGTAGGGTGAAAAATGAAGAGCAAGCAGGAATCTTCTATCAATTCCATTGTAGCTGCAAAAGTTATCTGACAACATTTGATTATGCTAACACTAAGAAGAAGAAGCCTGTCAAAATTTTAATTATTTCTGATAATATTATCTTGTGCATTATTGCCCTTGATAATGAAGCCTGGACAGAAGGCAAATGTCATAGACTTTATCGGACACAAATTAACACTCAATGTATTTATAATAATAATACACATTGTGTGAACATTTGTGTCTAATAATGTCTGTGACAGGTGCCTTATGTCCAAGCTTGTATGCATGGATGTACATTGTTGGATGATTGGTACTTGACAAAGTCTGCGACAGGTGCCATTTTTCCAGACTTGTTGATACTTTTTAATTTCCTTTTTAGTAAGCTATAAAAGAAGAAAACAATGTGGTACAGTAGTATATTTTATTGTCTTTCTCTTTCAGACTGATAATTTTGGCAGTGCCACTGGTCTGTTGTCTGGAAGTATGAGTCGAATGTCACACATGGTGAATTCTGGAAAAGGAAACCGAAAGTTGATGTGTTATATTATATTAGGACTGGTTGTCATGTTCTTTCTTACATACTACCTTGTTACTAGAGTTACGTCTGGATGATCAAATAAGGTGGTGATTTGGGATTATGACAATATGATACTAAACTTTGTATGAAATGGATCATGATTATTTCAGCTGGAATGACTGGATACATTGGAATCTGTAAGAAGACTGTTAGTCTTGGACCTTCAAGTTGTTTCTATGGACCAATAGATATAAAATTGAATGATGTCATTTTCTTGGTTACAACTGCACTTCCTCTCCTGGTATCCAGATCTGCCGCCACTTTTGTATCATAAATCATGTTTTTAATTAAGTTATTTCTATATTTTGTTAATGTATATATATCTCCAGTGATAGCAAAATTAGGCATAAGTTGCAAGTCTTTTACAATATGAACAAAAATGTTAAAATATACTAAAAATATCTTTTTAATGATATAACACAAAAGGTAAAAGTCAACTGACACTTGGAAAAACCAGGTCTTCAAGCAACCCTTATCTCTTATATTAAGATTCTTTATATGTTATTAGCCAATTTCAATACTTTTTTTTGTTCATATTTTGTAACCAATGATTTTCGACTTCCAACTAATTTTGTCGTCACAGTCAAAAAATGTTTGGAGAATTTATGGAAATGATCTTTTCCATATGGGAAAGAGCTATTTGGTATAATTGATGAAAGATATTGTGTTGTATATATATGTATGGATATGTGTGTTATGAATTGAAAGATATATTTCTTTGTTGGATCAGATCCTAATTACACAACCACCAACCTCGTGGGTTTTCTCTGGGTCCTCCAGTCTCCTCCGGGCCCGTATCTAGACACCATTAAGCGGGGGGGGCATTACCTTTTGGTAGGGGGGGGGGGGCGAACATTTTGAGGAAATTTTCGGAAAGGTCATTCTAACAGACTGTTGTAATCATCATGCTATGTAGTTACCTAGGCGTCTAATAAGCATTTTAAAATAAGTATTCAAACAAAAAAAAAATAGTGATTTTTTAAATTTATTTAAAACTATTTTAGATTAGTACAAAAAAAATGGTTTATAAAGTAATGAGATACCGTGGGATTAATATGCGCATAGTCGCCTGAATTATACCTCCTCCTGCTTAGGGAAGCGTAGTTTTTTTAGGTTAATATAAGGAACTGTGTATACTTTAATGATTGTTAGCAATTTCTGAGCGGGGGGGGGGGGGGGGCATCCCCGCACCCCCCTGTAGATACGGGCTCGGTCTCCTCCCACTGCTAAAGACCCTTACACGCAAGCAAATTATTGAAATAAAAATGGACCATGTGTTAGTTTCGAAATGACCTAGGTTGTATCGAGTGGATGTTAAACCCCATTTCTCTCTCTCTCTCTCAGTTGGAAAAAATGAACAGGTAAAAAATATATATTTGATTCTAAAACCACTTCCAGGATACCAAAACCCCTATCCGACGAACCTAGAATATTCAAAACTTTACATGATAATTCGAGCCAAGCTCATTTTATGTAATACAGATATTAACGCATGTGTCTTTATGAATGACTGATTCTAACATGGATCCAGTGAGTGAGCTAGCTAGAATTGGTGTATTAACCATGTGATCTGTGACAACAGCTCCACTCATATACAATTGCCAGAAGGGGGTTTGGTGGCTGAATAGGTTAACATGTGTGCTTTAGATCATAAGGTCTGTCATTGAGTAAAGTGGTATGTTTTCAATTCCCGCTTGTAAGTGACAAGGAGTATGGTCGTCTATCCAACATCATGGGTTTTCTCTGGGTGTTCTGGCACAAGCAAATTATTGAAATAAAATTAAACCATATGTTAGTCCCAAAGTTTTTGTCAAGTGGACTTAAACCCCACCTCTCTCTCCATGTAATCTGGAACAATACATTGTTGTACAAACTCATATACAAATGGCCAGTGGTTAATAGAATGTGTAATAGAATTATAATTTTATTTTTCCTGGTCATTAGAAGTATACTTTCAAATATAAATAAGTTTAAAAGGTCAAGCATATGACCTAATTATGTTTAAATAGATGACCTAATTAAGCTCAAGGGAATATTACTTTAATAAAGGGATGCAGAATTGTGGTTGTATAATACAGTGCTTGGGTTATTAACAGACTGCTTTATACGTGGGTTTTTAATGTACATGCACTTATTTAATTTAATAAAGGGTGTTATTTAATACATGTAAATGAATTTGGGATTGGTTGAGTTTTAATCACAAACACAATAACCGGCAACCCATTTTCAGTGCAGTCAGGGAGCCGTTCTGGCTCAGAGACTAGAACACTGTCTGCTAATAAGCAGGAGATCTTGGTAAACATTTTTGTACATGTAAAAGAACCCATGACAGTTGGGATTCGAAATAGAAAGAGCCTGTAGTGCTGCTATCCAAGCAAAATTTCCCTCATAACACACTGTATGGGATATGTCCGTCTACATTAGCCAGTACAGACCAGTAGGACGTTAAATTTACCGAAACCTGATAATAAAATTATGTACAGTATCATCATGGGGGATGGTGGCTATGGGAACTCAAGAGGCATGATCACTCCAACTGAGATTGCCCCATAAATATATATCAAAATTTTCTCTAAACAATGTCTCAACATCACCGACAATAAATCTGGTACAGTGGTTTCTTTATCCAAATGCAGTACACTGGAGGGGGATCACGTGGCTAAGTGGGTAAGATGTTGGCTCGCTAGCCTGGAGTTCGGGTGTTTTCGATCCCTGCATTGGCCGAGAAAGTTCATCCAGATTTTCCGGCGTGGTTTCCCCCTTGTCAGTGATGCAGGACGGAGTGAGTGACAAGGACAGCTGTCTAGTCGTTCGGAATGTACGAAAAACTGAGGTCAAGTGTACACATTGGCGTGCACGTAAAAGATCCCTTGGCAGTTGGAATTCGATATAAGAGTAGGCCGTAGCGCCGCTGCCCGGGCAAAATTTCACGCATAGCACACTGTATGGCATATGCCCGTCTTCATTAGCCCAGGTTAGGAGCAGAACAGTAGGACGTTAAACCCCATTTCATTTCATTTCATTTTTCAGTTTACTGGATAATTTTTTATGTCTATTTTTATTCTTTTGTTTTACAGCATTATACCGCTTACTGCTTCCTTCTAATGCAGAGGGGAGCCACCAAAGGGCTCCTGAAGTTGACAGAGAAAGTTCCCGGAGGCCTGGCAAGGAACAGGGTTTAGTTATTTCAATGGCACGAAATTCCTAGGTCACAAGCTTTAGTAACCCTTGCCAGGTGAACTGCCCCTGATCAGGCAAAATTTCCCTCATAGCACATGGCCCATAATCATTATCACAGTTGATGCAGAATAGTAGCTTTTCTGTTGGGCCTCCAGTTTATTCCCATGTTTAAAGACCCCTAAGCACAAGTAAAATATTGAAATAAAATTATACTTTTGTCGCTAATGACCTAGTTAAAACCTATTTCTGTCTCGCTCACTCAATGGGGATACTCGATTGAATGGCATAAGACATCACATGGTGGAACTTTTATGAGAATGGAAAATTGACTTGTAGAAAATGGTCTGTTTCTCTGCAAATGTACAAGTTAGAAACCATTTTGTGGTATCTGTATGATCGTATGGGTTTATTCTATTTGTTGATTGGAATCAAATATCATAATTTCAAAAACATTACAAATCAAACTCTTTGAATAAAATATCTGTTTTGAAGTCTAAAAATACATTTTTTGCCCAAATGACGCAATTTAATGTTAGTGATAATGTTAAATTGGATTGACTTAGTTAAAAGTGGCATTCGGCATCAAATGGTAAAAGAAAATTGAAAATTGAATAATAATTGATTTTTATACAGGCAAAATAACGCGAAATGTGACTCATGCAAATTTGCCTATTTCTCGACAACTGCTGCTATTACAAATTAATCTTGACATACATTCTCTTTGTTAGGGTTATTGCTACGAGGTTATGAAAGTTACGAAGAAATATTTTGAAATATGAAGACGTTGAATAGGTTGTAAATAGCTTAATTTTACACCTTTTTTCACCTTTAAATCGAAATAGCCCGGAAACGAAATCGAAATTGAAAAAACTGAGCCCGATGTTTTGTGCGCCTTTAAAGGGCGCATCCTTTTCAGATTTGAAAAAAAGTAATATTTGCTTTCAAAAAGTGGTACCAAATTATCAAAATTGTAGTTTTTAGTAAAATTACGTCACTTCAGGTGCCGACAGGAAACTTTAACAGTAACAAAAAAAATGACATTTCATAAAACGAAGCATATGAACTTTGTTTTATACAAATAGAACAATAAATAATTAATCTAGGGCCGAAAAACTGAATTAGCCAATGGCGATTAATCCAAATTACTGAGACATAAATTGTTCACATTTTTGCTCAAGTCAGATGATCATTAAATCCTGTGTAAAATACCATCAAAACATAACCATAAATAAAAAATATTTTTTGTAAAATTTTAAATTTTCAAAATTTCGCGCCTAATATCAACTCAGTTAAGTTTCTGGGATACGATGAATAACTGATTGGATATTACTCCCTAAAAAGATTGAATGCATGCACTGACACATATCGATATTCAAAAATGGTAGGATTATGAATCATTCATTGTGTTATTATATTTCGATCCAAGTCAATGGGGGAACACAATTTTGATCCAAGCTTTTCCTCCCTCATTTGCAAACAGTGATTTGACACTGATTTATCTGACAAAAACCTTGGCCTTTTTTGTTCGGGTTCTGGGTCCACGCCGGAACTTTGATATTCTAATACTTGGAAATGATTTGAAATGACAAAAACACTTTATAAATGTTTAATAGATTTATTGAGTGGTATAAATGAAAAGTACGTTAGGAACAGAGTATTAACCATTATTTAGGAATTATTTATAAACACTACTAACAGTACAATTGGATATCCAATTATCCATGTACAATGAAAATAAGGACAGCATTAATAAATGTTTACGCTAAAAAATGCTTTAGAAAAGACATTTCAGAATGTGATATTTTCTCGTTTTAAAAACAGCAAATTCAGCAAATATCAAAGTATTTTAAAATGAAAACAAAAACACAAAGACGTATGTAATGAACAAATGAACAGATATAGTCACGGTTTCAAAGATAAAATGCAAAATTTAAATAACATGTCTACATGAAGTAAAATATAGAATCAGTCACTGATACAGAAAGGTATACATTTATATCAGTTTTTGAAATTTAATTTGCATATAATGTACATGTAAAGTAGATGACTTAAAATATATCTCCAGGAAATGATAATAAGACATTAAGTTTCGACAGAATTGTAAAAATGAATATTTTAAGCTAAAAACATCACACCTAGCACTATAATGATACAGAGAAAAATAAATTTTTACAGTACTTTAAAAAAATTATGATATATGTAAAACACAAAATCATAAATAATGCACAGATGAATAAAACATTTAAAGAATCAAATAACAGTGTATTTGATAGAATAGCCTAACTTTAAAATATAAATTTTAACTATGAACAACTTTAGCATGGACATTTCAAATTCTACACGGAACAAATATGTAATGAACAAATGTAATAGCTATTTAATCACGGTTAAAGAGAGAGATATTACAAGTCAAATGCAAAATGTAAATTATGGTATCAGTCAGGGATATATAATGGCTTACAATCTTATAGTTTGAAATTTAGGTTGCATATAGAATAAATGTAATATTTTCTGCTGGAAATGATATTAAATTATGATCGAGTTCTATATTTAGTACATAATTACAGCAATGAATGAATATTAAAATGGAATATACATATTTTGGAACATGGAAGATCACAGTCAAATGCGTATTACTGAGCGTGTCGTATTAAATATTTGACCGTGATTTTCCATATATCAGAGGTGCGCTTAAATATTCAGTTGTCCATTATGCCATTAATTTGTTGTTTGGGGCGGATAGATGATGACTCAATGAATGATTAAGCGACGAAGATTGTAGGACCCGGTCCGTTGGGGAAAATAAAAAGAATAAATATTCTTTAATAAATTGTGAACCGGGTCCTGGCTTTATTAAAATTGGTCCTACACGAAAATCGAAACAATAGGACAAACAAAAATCCAACAATATAAAATGAAAATTTGACTAATATTTACATATATGTATACATGTAACAGCTCGATAATATCCTACAGTTCTGAAAAGACAATAAGCATAAATGGTTAAAATAAATGCATTAGAAATCCCCGTGATAAATTATTTTGTACCGTGTGATTCAATTTGAACTGAGCTGTATAATAAATATATATTCCAAAAATAACAAAATGAAGACCAACCTGTGATTCAGTTTGAATATATTCCAAAAATAACAAAATGAAAACTAACCTGCCAATTTATTGCCGACCATTTTTAGTGTTATTACCGTTTCATTTTGTATAATCTCTTCTATCTTCATCACAAGCTCTTCCTCCGAATCATGCGCGATACAAGTTCTAAGAATGGAAACGGGACAGTTAACATCGAAAATTTCGTCTTGGTGTTCTTCCCTGGCTATTGTAAATGTGTACTCCAAATCGCCCCTTTCATAGCCATGGATTACGAAATCTGTTGTGACGGTCTGTGCTGTTGTTTCCTGAAATACATAAACAATTATAACAATCTTCACCCCTAACGTTAATCATGTTGCAGCATCTACGAAATAAAAAAGGGGGGGGGGGCGTGTTATATGAACGAAATACGGACGCATGTGTTCCGTTAACTACACATTTTTAACTACTAAAAGACGGTATCATTTGACATAAAAAGGTGAACAACCATAAACTATTTATCGAATGGCCGTGTTTTTGCATTAATTAGCAAAATTTCAAAGTTTTCTTCCTTCAATTTGCTAAAGGAAATATATCATTTTAGTTCAAAAATTGATTCATAACACAACACAGGGTATATATGGATATACATTGTAACTACTTCTCTATTATTTAATAATGACATTTCGTAACACATACAGGTCAAGTTTTCAAGTTAATGATAAATATCCGTTTCGTTCGTTCGTTTCTAGAGTTTTACGTCCACTTCCACCTAGGGTGATATCGTAGACAAGATAAATATCCACCTAGTCAGCCTATTTATACATATTTTGGCTTATACCAACTTAATTAATGATCACAAGAAACCATTTAATTTAGAAGGAGCTATAATAACAATAAATAATACAAACAATAATAATAACTGACCCTTAGTAGGATAATAACAGATAATCAGTGCTAAAGTATGGAAGCCTATAACTACCATTCATAATTTCTACTTTTCGCCTCTTCAGAACACGAAAGTCGACAAGTATTATCGCGGTGTGTTATTTCTTAATTTCCTATTTTCGAGTTGATTTTGGCTTGTATACCGTCTTGTCGCCTCACATTTTGTCGTAACTTCTACTTTTCGACTTTCGTGTTCTGAAGAGGCGAAAAGTAGAAATTATGAATGGTAGTTATAGGCTTCCATACTAAAGACCAAAGACCAAAATATGTATAAATAGGCTGGCTAGATAGATGGATATTTTATTGTCTACGATATCACCCTAGGTGGAAGTGGACGTAAAGTATTATCGCGGTGTGTTATTTCTTAATTTCCTATTTTCGAGTTGATTTTGGCTTGTATACCGTTTTGTCGCCTCACATTTTGTCGTAACTTCTACTTTTCGACTTTACGACTTTCGTGTTCTGAAGAGGCGAAAAGTAGAAATTATGAATGGTAGTTATAGGCTTCCATACTAAAGACCAAAGACCAAAATATGTATAAATAGGCTGGCTAGATAGATGGATATTTTATTGTCTACGATATCACCCTAGGTGGAAGTGGACGTAAAACTCTAGAAACGAACGAAAAGATGGATATTTATCATTAACTTGAAAACGTAACCTACGAAACGTCGTTATTAAATAATATAAAGTAGTTATATATGTTACAGTCAATGTCTACAATCAGGCAATGTGTACAATGCCTTTGTAACCCTAACCCTAACCCCCATCCCAATGCTAGCCCTAAACCTAACGCTAACCCTAACCCGGCAATGTACACATTTCAGGCATTGTACATATTAACAGAACACAGTTTTTATGGGATACAATCACTAGTTTATTCTAAAAGCACGACGTTTCGACAAGTATCCTCTTATCGTTATCAAGCACAAATGACAATTTAGTAAACTTGTGGACAATATATATGAAATTAATAAGAAACCATCTGCATGGATTAAGAATAACAGTAATAGAAATAATCAAGGTGTAAAGGATATTTAACAATAACAACAAACATAACAAGGTAATTAGCTACTAATAAGCACTGATACTGCATGATTAGAGGCTCAGACTTCCACCAACCAAGCCAGCGAAGAAAGAATTAAACACCGAAACCTCAAAAAGTTTGAACAACTAAAGAAAGATAATGTAACAACCAAGAAAACAGATACAACTATGCTAAAGACTGACTTCCTTACTAAAACAGTTGTCAACCTCAGCAGCAAAGATCTAACCAATGACCAAATCAGTTTACTTTCTAAGGGCCTGAAGTTTGCCCCATCCTGGACACCAAGAAATCATGATGTTTTTATCGCCAACATTGAGAAAGGTCTATGCCAACTAGCACCAGGGGGAAAAGTTGATTTCCTTCGCCACCAGATAGCCAACCTAATTATTAAATCCACCACAAAGAAGAACTCCCACAACATTACCAAAGGTGAGACCAAAGCTATACAAGAACTAAAAAACGACAAGTCTATAACGATAATACCAGCCGACAAAGGTAAATCAACTGTGGTCATGAACACCGACGAATACAATTCAACCGTCAACCAACTGCTCAATGATGCCACAACCTACAGAAAAATCAGGAAAAATCCAACAACAACATTAGAAAAACAACTAAATGATAAGCTTAAAGAATTATGTGACTCCCAACAACTAACCAAAGATCTTTCTTACCAGTTAAAACCAAACCACCCACGTCCTCCTTACGCCCGAGCCACCATCAAGACCCACAAAAACCCGATCAAGGCCAGGTTATTAGTCTGTTCAAGAGATTCAGTTTTTTACAACGTTGCTAAACACATGTCTAAGCTACTTGCTCCATTAGGAACTTCATCTACATCCTTCATCAAAGACTCTGGTGGTTTTTGCAACACTATTAGAGACCTAAACCGCCCTGGGAAGATTGTGTCGTACGATGTGGTTGATCTTTTTACCAACGTTCCCCGTCAAGAAGCTATTGAAGTCCTCCGCACTCGATTAAATGAATTAGAAGCACCCCTAGAAACTAAGTTGTCAACCGATAGTATCCTTGAGTTAGTTACTATGTGCCTTGATTCGACATTCTTCACCTGGGGTGACGACATATACAAGCAAGTCAACGGTTTGCCCATGGGTAGTCCCCTATCACCCTTAATCTCTGAAATCTTCATGACTGAATTTGAAAACTGTGCCCTAAGAACCTCTCCCATCACTCCAATCATTTGGCTTCGCAAGGTCGATGATACGTTTGTGGTGCTTGATGAAAATGATGAACCTATGTCCCTGCTTGAACACCTGAACAAACAGCATCCTAGAATTAAATTCACTATCGAAACAGAAAAAGAAAATACCCTACCATTCTTAGATGTACAAGTTATAAAAGTCAATAATCAAATGAAAACTAAAATATACCGCAAACCGACCCACACAGACCAATATATCAATTACAACTCCAGTCATCCCCATTATATCAAAAGAGCCCTTATTTCCACCCTAGCACGCAGAGCAATCAACATTTGTGAACCCGAATTCCTGCAGGAAGAATTGGACCATTTACGCCACGTGTTTTGTAACCTGAATAATTATCCCCCGTTACTAGTGAAAAAGCAGATCAATGAAACTATCAAAACCACCAGTAAAGATTATCAAAACCCTGAAAAATCACCCATCAGAATAACCTTGCCCTTTTATGGTAATTTAACATACAGAGTGAGCAACCTACTAAAGAAATCAAACATTGACACCACATTTTCGGTCCCGACCACCCTGAAACAGATATTGAAAGCCAACGGCAAGTTGCAACCAATTCTCCCCACCCAACCCAAAGGAGTCGTCTATCAAGTGGTTTGTTCCTGCAAGGCTACATATATCGGGGAAACGAAACAACCCATTGACAAAAGGATAACGGAACATAAGTCCAAAGCCGCTACTAATAACTCAGCCATAGCGGAACATCTCCAGAATCACCCACAACACAGAGTTAAATGGAATGAGGTCCAGATACTAACCGCCAACCAACAGAACAAGAAAACCAGGAAGATCCTAGAAGCTATAAATATCAGAAGACATTCACCTGAACTCAATAGGGACTTAGGGCTCTACATCCCCAGGGCATATGATGATGTAATTAAGATGCACAACATAATTTAACTATGAAGCCATCTTTGGTTGTACTAAAATCCCCGCCCCCACCCCATCTCATTAATAAATTTTCGATATTATAGATTCTCCCAACATGTCCCTTATATTTTTAGAGGATTTTTGTTCTTGTTTTCTTAGTACAAATTGTGTATTGTTATAGTTGTACTTATATAATGCAATCTTATTTAACTTCATGCACATGGCCTCACTACCTGTGCTTTATCAACTTCCCACTATCCATACATGCTACCCTTTTGAAGGGCTTCATAACTGTTAATAACCCTCTAATCATGCAGTATCAGTGCTTATTAGTAGCTAATTACCTTGTTATGTTTGTTGTTATTGTTAAATATCCTTTACACCTTGATTATTTCTATTACTGTTATTCTTAATCCATGCAGATGGTTTCTTATTAATTTCATATATATTGTCCACAAGTTTACTAAATTGTCATTTGTGCTTGATAACGATAAGAGGATACTTGTCGAAACGTCGTGCTTTTAGAATAAACTAGTGATTGTATCCCATAAAAACTGTGTTCTGTTAATTTGTTCCCTGATCGCTAAATGCCACTTAAAGAATATGTTCAACGTCAATATGGGGATGTGGCAACTAAGTGTGTTCGCCAGATTAGTAAACTTGAAGATAAATATATAAGAGTGTGTAATAACTTAACCTTTCTCATGAGATGTAGAGACAGTGAAATTGTGCCACATGGATTAAAACTTAAGGGTCCAGTTAACTCCAATGCTGCAAATAAGATCTTACTTCAAGCTAGTAAATCCCTAGTACGTGAACGCATTCAACATCACCGGAATACTAAGCACCGACTTCTGCAAGATATTGGAGCTTCACATCTGAAACTTAATCATCTAGTTACTACAGAGGATTTTAATTCCATCCGCAAGGCTCAGACTTCCACCAACCAAGCCAGCGAAGAAAGAATTAAACACCGACACCTCAAAAAGTTTGAACAACTAAAGAAAGATAATGTAACAACCAAGAAAACAGATACAACTATGCTAAAGACTGACTTCCTTACTAAAACAGTTGTCAACCTCAGCAGCAAAGATCTAACCAATGACCAAATCAGTTTACTTTCTAAGGGCCTGAAGTTTGCCCCATCCTGGACACCAAGAAATCATGATGTTTTTATCGCCAACATTGAGAAAGGTCTATGCCAACTAGCACCAGGGGGAAAAGTTGATTT